GCGAGGTTGAGCACCGCCTTGGCCACCCGGTGGCACTGCCTGTGCAGATGCGGCTGAAAGAACCTCGACGCGACCGCCACGATGGTGGAGAAGAGGATGGGTGCGTTCTGGCGACAGTAGTCGGGCGTATGCAGCGAGGCGTCGAGCAGCGCGAGCGGCGGATTGAGTTCGGCAAAGTAGAACTCGAACAGCTCGTGCGCCTGGTCGATGCTGATGATGTGCTGACGCACCGCGTCGTCGCCCAGCTCGGCGGCGATGGGCGGTGGAGCCGCTGCGGCGGTGGAGGCGCCGGGATGCGAACGCTGCATGGCGTTCTGCGCCGAGCTCCATGCCGAGGTCCTGTCCCAAGCCGTCTGATCCTTAGCGCGCAGCGGCGGTGGTGGTGCGGTGCGATTGGCTGTGGCCGACGACGGTCCTGCCAGCGGCGGCAGTTCACGGCTTCGATCGTGCTGAAAGGCGTAGGCATCTTGCTGTGCCCTGTCTTGGTCGTGCAGCTGTGTGGCCTGGTGGGGCTTTCGCGCAAACAGCGAATCCTCAAACGACGGAATCGACTGCAAGTACGGCCCGAACCAGCGTCCGTGCACGGATCCCTTGGGGCTGGGCAGTTTGGGCGCCGGCTCGATCCGGTCTGTGCGAGTGATTTCGATACCTCTATGCGCATGCTGTGGATGCTGTGGATGCTGCGCATACTGTGGTGGCGGTGATGGCGGGGGAGGCGAACGCGAGAGCTCGCGCGGCTTTGCGCGTACGGGCGAGGTGTTGCTGTTGGCAGAGAAGGAGACGTGTTCGGCGTCATCGTCTTCCAGCTGGTCCTCCTCGTCGACGCCGAAGCTGTCTGCGTCGCTGCGCGGGCGCTTTTTGGGCTTGCGTCCGCGGTGGTGCTCCTTGAACTCGCACACGAGGTCGAGGCGGTTGCATCGCTTGCACCGCTCGTCGTCGGCGTTGGCGCGCGAGCACTTGACCTTGATCGCCCGGCACTTGAGACACGCCAGGTTCGAGCCGCGCTTTTCGGGTTTCTCGGAATCGAGCAGCGCGCGTCGTACGCGCGTATCTGCCGCTGGCCTGTTCATGTCTGCCGACGGGCTGCGGGCGATGGAGGCGGGCGATTTAGCGTGTTCGACGACGGGCTGCGATGGATCGAGCCACGCCGCGGCGGACGAGGAGGAGGTGGATGCGGCGAGCGGAGCGCAAGTATCTGGACGGGGCGATGTTGCCAGTGGAGCTGCGACTGCTGCTGCTGCTGCTGCTGCT